CACTGTGCACGATATGTCCCATTATATAATGGTGCCACGATGCACATAACGCTCACATTATTTATGGTGCCTCCATGCACGATACGTACTTTATTAACAGTGCACAATAGGGGTTAATCACATGTTTCACACTTTTAAGTCATTTTTATTTATGTTTTCATTGAATTCACATTAAATTACTTTCATTTCAAACATTAATTCAATTAACGATTGATTTATTAATAATTGTTTACTTAAATCAGTGTTTAATATAACTGTGATTGAGTTTTGCATTGCATTTGAGTTTTTGTGTCAAATATAGGCATAAATTGTGTGAAATGTAAGTATTATTTGAATGACAAGTGATTTACTATTGAATGCATTACTTATTCATATTGTCATCACTTTAGGGATCAGTTGTCGACAAATGAAGTCATTGTTTGTATGAACGCTATGTTAAGGAGATGTGACACAGAAATGAGACAATCAATGGACAGATTTTGTGATGATTTGTGTCAACTAGTGTTGTCTTATCTGTCACTCGAAGAGCGGTTCCGATACGAAGAGGTGTCCAAACAGTGGCAGAGAGTTATATATGAGACACAAACGAAGTTTGTTTTGTCAACAAAACTGAACCGCAAATCAATTTCATTAATACATAAAAAGTGTAAAAATATTGAGACAATTGAAATCATAAATACAGTCAATGATAGTATGTGTGGCACTTCTGGCACTTCTAATGTCATGCAATGGCAGAGCTTTACAACCACTTTAACTCAAGTTTTCCTCACATTTGGCAAACAATTGAAATCAATATGTGATAAAAGTAATGGTTATGTTTCATATTTTGTCAGACATTTCATATCATATAAATTTCATGTGTGTCCAAATTTGACAACAATTAACTATAGTTTGAATTCATTGTCTGTATTGAGTGGTAATGCAAATGAGGTTTTGTTTAAGAAATTACAAAAAATTGAATTTAATTTCAACGATAAAGAGATCGATATTTTGCAAACATTTTGTCACAACAATAGCCGGACTTTGAGATCAATTTCAGTGACGATTGACAAGTGCTCTAAGGAATCAATGGCTGTACTAATGAAGTGTTTGTCACAAATGACACAATTAGTTGATCTCAAGATTGCTGGCGATTCACAGCCGAACTTTAAACCGACGGATCATTTGAAACAATTGTCTATTAATTGCCCGAAACTCAAGAGACTGTCATATTCTGTGTTTATATATCACAAACCAAAAAGCATTTTGAGGCAAATAATGCTTACAATTATGCTTACAATCAATGATTGCTTTAAACAATTAAAACGTTTGGAAATTAGTGGAGATTTTCCAACCATTGACTTAAGAAGTGAATCGTTGAATAATTGCAAACAATTAACACATTTAACGATTGATTCGCGAAACAAGGAATTGATTACTAAATTATTTATGCATAATATTGACAACAATTTACCAAAACTTCAATACTTTTATTTTAATGGCAATAATATATTGAATAAAAAGTGATAACAACTCTTCAGACACCGATTGAGTCAATAGAATCTTAACCACTCAATGGTAGCCAAGAATTCACACAAACGGTTCCAAGAATTTCAATCCAAATATTAATAAAACAAATTCAACTATTTTTATAGTATTTAATTTTTAAACAATTTACTTCAAATATAATAAATTGTATTTTGATTTTCAAACAAATGCTTATTTTAAAATGATTTAATTATAGATATTATAATTGATAATTAATTATTACATTTAATTATATGTTTTACTGCAAAATTATTCATTGTTTAATTTTTTTGTAAAATGCAATAATTAAGTAAAAAAATTGATAAATAAAACAATGGAAATTTTTATTAAAAACTTTATGTCTAGAAAATTATTTAAATTTAATTACTGATAATGAAATCAATTTATGAAAAGTTTTATTTGAGTTATAATTAGTGTTGAAAATAGTGTACAAAAGAGGGCGACATTTGTATTCACTTTTAGCGCCAAACTATTGAATGGTTTTGTTGTGAAAAATGATAACAAATAAACATTTCATTGAATTTACTATTGATTTGAAATATTTATTATTTAATTAATTGTTTTAAATATTAATATTTTGTGTGTTTTATAAAAGTGTATGAAATCTATTGAAACGTGATTTAAATACTATTAATTACAAACATATTGTACGACAAAATTGTGTTTTATTTGTTAACAAATTAATTAATTAAATGTGTTTTGCGTTAAATGTAAGTATTATTTCGTAAATAATTTAATTGCAATTTATGTCATATTTTAATATAATATTCATTTTTATTATAGATTTAAATGAATTGAAAGCAAACTATTGTCTCATAAGAAGTGGAAGAATAACCACAAGAAGTGATTGAGTGTT